ATATATATATATATATAATGTATAATAATTGAAATATGACTGTATTTTACAAAATACTAGTCCACTAACACAGCCAAGACAGGTTACTTTGTGAAGACTAAAGGTCAGTTTTATATTATTGGATACAGTAACATGAATGCATGTGCACCGCGTCATTGTAACTTCTGTATTGTTAGCCAGGCACGGCTGAAAGGTCAATATAATAAATATAATATATACATATGTATATATATAAATGTATAATGTTATGAGATTTAAGCTATTTAGTCTAAACATATGTGTCTTCGTGTTATAAGTTTTAGTCATTCTAGAACTAAAAAGGCATAACTTATATTCATTTCTTAATTTTTTATGGTGCTTACAAGATCAATCAAATCTACCAAACCCGTACAGAGATTCGTTGCTGAAAATAACAGATGAAATGTAAAGTTTTTTCTTTAGAAATATTTGATAACTATCTGGACATTATAAAGATCTTGCATGTGGAATTTGAAATTTTTCTGATGTGACGTAGACAAAGAAATTGATATTTTGCATATGAAAGCACTATAATGTTTACTGATGATCTGACAAACTTGGTTTATTATGCTTGCTAACTTAAAAGTTAGTATGAAATTTATAACAAGCATAAAGTGGTTACAAGGTCGGTCCCAGGGACTGAGCCCATGAAATGCTTACCTTTTGCAAATTTCAATTATTGATTTTTATGTCTTACTACAATACTGTAAAACTTAAAATTTATTTTTAATCTCATAAAACTGTGTATTTGATCTTTGTTTTGATTTGAAGAACTGCATGCAGTTTTACTGAGTTTATGATCACGAACATATAATGAAAGTAATATTTTTACCATATCAGAATTATAAGCAAGCCAACATTTTTATTAATTGTTAATCAGAAGGTTTCATTTCATATATGTAATAAGTTTTAAACTCATTTCATAGTTATTAGTATATTTTTTATATTTCTTTTTTGATGATTTTCTTTTACCATTCAAGTAGTTACTTATGCTGTGAAGGCCTCTAATGTAAACAAGGTCTAAAACAGCAGCTTTTTCAGAGAAAGGAAATTTGATATGGTTTAATGTATAGTAACTTAACTAAACTAGCTTATCTTGTTTCTTGTAAAACTGTTTTTATTTCTGTCATATTGCAACATGATAATTCAAATGAAGTATAAAGTGATAATGCAAGTTTTAATCCTTTTGAGATGGGTCACAAGAGAAAGGCCATGACATCTCGTTTGTTGACTCACATTCACAATTTTATTGAACTACTACTTCATGAATTTGTCAATTAGTTTGGTATCAAACTATAGATTATAATTCAAATTTTAGTACTATATATTACTCACTTTCTTAATTTAAAAGCAAATAATCTATTTCAGTAATCTCTCTCACTTTTCATTCCTAGTCTAAACATTCCATCAGCTGCCCTTTCTTCTCCTTCCCACATAACAATTGCAATCAACCTTTTCTTACGTAAAAAGTCCTCCACTTTTTCCTGAAAATGTAATATACAAATCAACATTCTCCTCATTTGCTTCAAATGTTCACATATCTATCTGTATTACATTTATACAGGTTAGTCTTAATTCTAATGACTATGTCACAGACTGCCCAGTTAAGAACTAATGATCTCTTCAGACTTGCTGGTAACAAAAAGCAATGCCATTCTGATGTTTTTCCCCTCCCAAGAAAGCTAGGCACCAGCATCACTTGCAAAATCTTATTCATCTGACTATATTGTCTCTGCAACTAATCTTCAGACTGTTATATTCTTATCTCTTCTAAATGATCACAATACCAAACCAGTAGATGTTCCATGTCCAGAAACTTAGTATTTTAGACCCACAACGTCCAGTTTTATCATCTACATCAGATATGCATCTTCCCTTGCGACATGTAGAGGACACAGCCAACAGAAATATATCTTGAATTTTATTTGTTGCATTCATTCCAAAGGTATTTGGCTGTTTAACAACTAACAAAGGTGTCACTCTGCTATTCAGTCACAATGGTAATCCTCGAACAGGCTGTACCATTAGAAGTGGACTTGCATTGCCTAGGTCTTTACACCATCTGAACAGTAAAAATAGGCATGTAGAAATTTTGTGTCATTGTCACTGTTGGGAGTATCCTAAATATTTCTTTAAATAATGAATTGGATAATCACTTTCAATATCATTCTACAATGTAGTTTGAGAATGTTATAGTATTGAGTAAAAATACTATTTTTTTATTGTTTTTCAGCCTTATCTAAAGTATTTGTTCTTGTGATTTTAAATTTTGATTTGTTATTCATTCTTTATTTGACAGGACTACAGTAAAGCTTTCAAGTATTTCTCCTTAGCAGCTAATCAAGGATGGGTAGATGGACAGCTACAGCTTGGAAATATGTATTACAGTATGGGGATTGTTATTTTGTTATAATAATGTTATGGTTCAAATGAAAACAAGTCAACTAATTTTTGAATTATATTAAATAAATTAACCCTATGACGATGATCTACTTACTTTGTAAATAGGTTATGTAACTCTTTTGGTAGTTCTTTACAAAACTGAAACTAGTGGATGAAATTTTTTGAAATTTGACACGATGTTCCCAAAAGAATGTAGTTTCAGAAAGAAAAAAAAATTGATTTTGGTTTTTTCTACAATTTCTAATAAAAATTCGTTATTTAATGTAGTTATTTGCACTTGGACTCTGAACAGTTCATATGCAAGGTGATTTTCATTGTTAGTATAAAGAAAAAAATACTATTATCTTACAGTTTTCACATGGTATAGCTGCATTGTAGCATGCAACACACCCTCCTAGCATACATGACTCCCTCTGTGTAATAGAATTCAACCTTCTTGATTTAGCACTACAGTGCTAAATCATCTTGTTCACTGCCATTTATATTTTATTTGGCATACAACATTTTGTACTTAGAAAAATTTTAGGCTTCAAAGATTTCTTTGGTAATTTTTTGTGCTTAGTTTCACAGTTGTGTTTTGTTTTGTCTTACGACCTATTCCCTTCATTTTTGAGAGAAACACTACCAAATATTTTGTCCTTCCTCCCTCACCTTACAATGAGGTCCTTGCTAGAATTTTGCCTAGCAGTTGTCTTCAAAGGTCAGCATGCCATGTTCCCCATGCTTGGATGAAGCTTGTACTTTGGATTACTATCATTCAGTAGATCATTTTCTGGTTACTCAACATTTGGAATCACTCCTTCTGAATTGGGGATTTGACCTTGACTCTTTTGTACTTTTTTCCCTGATCATAATCTTCTTGCCTTTGCCTGACATTGACATATCGCCTTCATTACCTTTCTTCCATACACCTTTTGTCTGAAGTTATTTATCACTCCCTTGGGGGGTTTTCAACAGATGCCTGTTCCCTCCCATTCTCCACATTGGCTAGCTTGTCCTCTTCAGCCCTTTCCCTCCACAATTGGTGCATTTGTTGTTGGGGCCTCTTAGGTAGGATGCTCTTTTAATTCATGTGGATTTCCTCTTCTTACCTCTTTACATGATGTGCACATGATCCTCTTTTTATACCCAACAGTTTGGAGGGATTTTTCTGATTCCTTGGTGTTCAGAGTGGAAACTGCCCATTTGCCTACTTCCCTGTCCTTTCTAGCCTCTCATTTATGTCATCTTTCCCCTGCTCCTATTCCTATGTCATGGCCACCTTTTTCATCTCCTTTACCTTTTCCTTTGTAACAGGTTGCCTCTTCACAGTTTACTATTGTTCACTGCTGACCTGCATGCTGCCAACAGTACAGATGACTGACTATCACTTTGGTTCAGGCCTAATAGGGGCCAGATTGCTGCTGTTTGGGAACACTTGGGAGTCTTTTTACAGACCCTTGGGTTCTGTAGGTCTTACCAGAAAGACTCTTTCTTCATTTCCATTCACTGCCTTCCCTATTCCCACTTTCTTGTTTCTTTCTCCTCCTTGGGATCCTCTGTCCAGCCAGCATCTTTTCAAGGCATTTCAGGATCTTCTACTCAAGGACACTACAGAACCAGAAGTTCAACTTTCCCTGGTTTTTATTCCCATCTTTTTCTAATTCTCAAGAAGACCAGGGATTGGCATCCTATTATTGATATCTCTTATTTAAACCATTATTTGAAAGTTCCTTGGTTCACCATGGAGTCTTTCCTGTCTCTTCGATGGTTTTTTACTCCAGATCTTTGGATGAAGAAGTTTGACATGTCAGATGCTTACCTCTATATTCCTATTTCCCCAGCATCCTGTTGTTATCTTCACTTCCTCCACAGGGACTATATAATCAGTTCCAGGCTCTTCTTTTTGGACTGACCTCAACTCCCTACATTTTTTGTTGGATGGTCAAAGCTTTTGCCTGACTTTTTCATTCACATGGGCTTTGTTTCCATTATTACATGATGACTGACTACTTCCAACTCTTTCACTTTCAGCCTCTTCCATCAACATGTAGCTTCTCAAGGAAGCTGCACAGGTGTATAGGCTGGTCAAGGTGGAGAAGTCCATTCTCACACCAACTTAGTACCTTGTTCATCTTGTGATATTCTTCAAATCCCATCTCAGTCAAGCCCAGCCTTCTCCCTTTCAATTGTATTTCATGGAGCTTATGATTTGGAAGGTGCAATACTCACCTTTTCTTCTTGCACAAGTAGTTCTTTCTTTTTTGGGGGACTTGGGCTTCTTTGGAGGCTCTTATTCTCCTTGGCTATGCCCACATTTGGGCTCTCCACTAGATCTTTCAAGGTCAAATGAATCTTACTAGAGATCTCCTGGATTGCCTAGTTTCCCTTCCTCCTTCCCTGCAGACCAATTTTCTTGGTGGCTAGATCGGGACAACACAACAGCTGGTGTCCTTATTCCTCCTCCATGACTAGAGTTGCATCTTTTTACCACTGTTACTTCTTACTATCTCCCCTTCTCCATAAACCTCAATTGCCATTGCTTCATCCATCCATTCCCACCCTAGAACTTCATGCATTGCTTTTGTCTGGTCCCTTGCATAAGGTTTTGGATTTTCCACCCAGGTAGTATCTCTTATATCCCACTCCACCTGCCTCTCATCCATGTCCATGTATTAATGTGACGTGTTTTTTGCCAATGATCTATATATCAGAGATTTATTTCTTCCTCTCCTTCCACCCCTCACTTATCTGAATTTTTTATCTGGTTTTACAATAATGGTCTTTATGTTTTTGACCATTGCAGGCTATAGAGCTGCATTATCATCTACCTTTCATTTTTCCTGTTTCTGCCATGTTTTCTCCTCTCCTGATATTTCACCTTGTTTCACTTATTTCACTTCTCTCCTCATCCTAGACCTACTTCCTTGTCAGATTGAGATCTAAATGTAGTCCTCCATGCCCTTTCTCTACTTCCATTTGAACATTTGGCTTCCTGTTCCCTATATCAGCTATCCTTGAAATCCTTTTCCCTCCTCGTGTTAACTTGTGGATGTCAAAAGTTGGATGTGTTTGCTATTGATGTCTCTTGCTTCCTATACCACCATAAATATATTCTCGTTTATCCTGATCGTACCTGATCCTGTGTCTGGTCAGAGTTCTGTAGTGTTATGTGACTCGTATGGTTCCTTTCCATGGTTTCCATTCCAGATTGTTTATACACTGAAATCATTCTTTTTTCCATTCTTTTTCCTAATAGTCTAACTGGTTGGGTTCATCAGGTCATCCATATAGCCTATTCCTCCTTGACTCCTGTCACATTTTCTGTGTTTATACTCATGAGATTCGACACCTCACAAGGTCTTTGGCTGCTTGTCTTCATTGTCCTCTGGAGGAGATTAACTAGGCCAGCACATCAACCTTCATACTTTTGTGTCACATCATCTTCATCATCTAGCTGTTTTTTCTTAGCCAGATATTGTCTGCTATCTGTTGCGATCCTTCACTCATTGGTTCATCTTTAAGTGGGTGTAATCTTTAATCTTTGTTTCCTGTTACAGGGGCATCTTTGTTTTAGAGTCCCACTCTGTAGTGAGTGGTGCGTGTCCAGGTATACTAATTCTTGAATCCACAATGTGCAATCATTATGTTCAAATGCTCACTGTTGAGATGGGGTGTTTCACAAGACCACTTGTAGATTCATTCTTGTGGTGTTTTGCTTCATCAGTATGTTTTTCCCAGACTGTACACTTATGAAATATCATGAGTAAAGCAGAATGGGAAGGCTGCCCTTCTTTACTTTTCATTGATTGTACAAATCGAGTTCAGTCTGCTTTTCAAAGTAGGGTTTTGTGGTTACCCATTGCACTTTCTCCTGTACAGCATTACTGCGGACTCTTCAATGCATTTTACCCCATTCTTGTGAAGTACGGGAGTTCTTACCACTTCCCAGCTCCTAGCCACTTGGGTGGTGGACCATGGAGGCATCTTTCTGTGTGTATTATTTCCACTCAGTTGATAGTAGAGTGATGGTGTTCTGCTAGTGTAGATGGTGTGACTTTACTGTGTGGAGTTATTCCAGATGCCATATAGTGTGGACTGGATTTTTTCACCACATTTTCTTTATACAGTTCACCCCTCCTTCCTATTTGCCACCTGTATGTAAGTTCCCAGGTGACTGATGTTGGTTGGAGCCAGACTGGTCAACATAAGCCCACACACATGACTGGATGATATATTCCCAATGCATGGTTTTGACTAGTGTTGACCCTACATGTTGCATTTTCACCTTCCTACCATTGTCCATTCATAGTTTTGGTTATGCACATATAATTATTTGGGTTCTCAGAATGGAAGTACTTCTTTCTTTCCTAGGTCTGAGGCAAATGATAAAGGGCCCTCCTCCTACTATGAGCCAATTGATACAATCTCAGTGTTGATGGTTTTGAACTGGAGTTGACTTCCTGCTTATGGTCTGATGTGCCCTAGCCACTCTACACCATAGGCACTTTTTTGGATATGCCTCAATATCTGCTCATTTTCTGACACCTTCAATCATCTGGAGTGAAGGGTATACCTGGTTCAGATGTGGTGCAGTCTCCCATGTGTGTCTTTCCTCTATATTGAGATACCACATGCCTTGAGTCCTCTTCAAATGCTTTTAGACTTGTCTAGGTGACTAGTACACCGATCCCTCCACTGTGTCAGTGTAGGTATCTAGTTGTTTTGTGAAAGGAGATAAGTTATCATATCAGACGTTAACATTATCCTAAAGCGAACATATATTTCTGATAGATGTTCTATGTTTTAGAAAAAATAACTTTAAGAACTTATTTCGAAACAGCAAAAATCTATATACATATATAATGTATAATAATTGAAATGTGACTGTATTTTACAAAATACTAGTTGACTAAAACACAGCCAAGACAAGTTACTTTGTACAGACCAAAGGTCACCTTTATGCTATTTGATATGGTAATAACATGAGTACACATGAGCAGCGTCATTGTAACT